AGTAGGTGTAGAACTGATAGGATGAGGTTGGTCTGGAGATTGAGTGAGACCGGAGGAATTACCATTGTTCCGGGGGTTGTTATTATTGTTGGACCGGTTACTGCTTCGAGAAGTATTAGGACGGGAAGTGTTAGTGTAATTGTTGTTGTTGTTATTGTTATTGGAACGGGGTGAAGAGGAATTGTTATTGCGGGATCTAGAATTGGATCGCGATCGTGAACGGGAGGTGGAATTGTCACGTGATTGACACGAATCCTGACGTCCACGTCTAGGGCCAGCATTAAAGCGAGAATAAAGTTTGTTAAGGCGATCGTCTACTTTCCGTGTGGTACGAGGATTACACACAGAAGGGGAACAACCAGGACGCCCACAAACGTGGCATAAAGTTTGTGCTTCATTAGGAGGGTGCCAAGTTAATCCTTTGCCGCGGAAAGCCATGGTCATTTCTTTGGCAGCTTCAAGAGATTCGAATGAGGAGAAATTCAAATATACATAGGGTTTAGGTTTGTAGGAATTAATAGATAGAGGAATGTTAAGGGCCTTAGCATTAACTTGGGTAGCAATTTCAAGCAGATCAGCTTCTTTAATATTCTTTGGAATGCCGGCAAGGATAGCAACATGTTCTTTGCGGCTATCGCGTTGGGATTTCGAAAATGATGCCGGGCAGACACGTAAAGAGTTACCAAGGCAAATGATCGCCCAAATATCATTAAATTGGGTAATTGCATCCGCGGAGGAAAACTGTATATGTCCATTATAATAATGCTTCCTAGGAGTAAGTTTGCACTTAATTACAGTGCCATATCGGGAAAATGCCTGACGGACTTGAGTCTCGGTTAGGAAAAGTGGGATATCAGTGACAAACAAAAACTTCGCTTCGTCGCTGAGTTTGGCATCTGCAGGGGAATAATGGGTGAAGACTAAATTGAGAAGATCAGCACGTGGGGAGGTGACACAATCAGTAAAATCCTGTTGATCATTAAAGAAGACAAGGATCTTTTTGTTATCTCCTGAGCCATCGCAGCGTGCGCGGGCACCATAGGAAGGATATCGGGAGAGTGAACAATCCACTTCGTCACACATGGAGCGATTGGTGGTGAATTTAGTTTTGAACGCATCAGGCACGTCGCGTAGGTAGGCCGCAGCATGATAGCGAGAAGGTGCAGATTTGATAGCAGCAGCATTACCATCGGGAGATGGTCATCATTCTGGGATGTCAAAAGCAACAGCTTTGCCTTTGCCGCCGGTGTTAGAGGGAGCGTGAATAGAGGCGTCAACAGTTTCAACAGGAGTAGTAGTATTAAGAGGAGGGATGATCACTTGGACTTTGTTGACAGGAAGACCAGAAGGAACAGTAGAAGTAAGGGTGGGAGAAGGAGCTGGGGGCGAAGTTATATCAACATTCATCGCGTCATCAGAGACAGTACGTGTACGTTTATTAGGTGCGCCAGCGGTACTAGTGGGAGATAAAGGTCGGTCTCCAGAGGGAGTAGAAACAACAGGACGCGGTGGCAGCGGGATATCCGGGTTAATAACAGAAGGAGCTGGAGGTGTAGTCATAGTTTAAAGCTCAGTAAAGAGGAAAGCAACTGTGGAAATATTAGTATTGTGAACGAGCACTTAGAAATTTTCGAACAAAAATTTCAAAAATAAATTTTATTAGTATTTTCAAAAATTCAGGAAAGAGTTGCGATGATCCTCATATTTGGTGATTATAAAGAGATGTGACTATATAAAAAATTTCTTATATTTGTATGTCATAATTC